CAAGTTACAACTCCTGCTGAGAAATCAGAGAGGTTGCTTTGCTTTGCTCCAGACAAGCAAGTTCAGATATGCTTCTGCTTGTCAGTGTAGCTGTGTGCTTAAAAGGGAAATCTGCAACAGGAGCTGTATCACACATACACAATTATGTAATTTTTTTTTTTTCTACTGAAGACAGGAAAAAAAAGGGTCAAGCGCCAGGAGCTTCAATAAATACAACTTGTTGGCCGTAAGAAACCTAGCTGATAACAGCTGTAGCTTTAATGTAAATTTACAAAGTGAACATTTATTCAGCTTGAAAAATACATACACAATAGTTACCTTGATAACAACAGATTTAAAGACTATCAGGTTAACGTCCTATTGATACACAATTTTTGTAAATGGAATATTTTATAAAAATAAGAAATGGCAATGCTTCATTGAAATAACAGTTTTAAAATTTGCTTCTTGAAAAAGCTATTATTAAATCAGTATGGCAACATGCAAGCAAAGTAAGTAAAAGCACCAGATTTATCTTCAGTCTTAAAATGATTGCAAGGGTAAAGTCATCAAGAGATGGTTGGGTTGGTTTTTTCGTTTAAAAGAGTCTTGATTTAAGACATAGTGAGAGGGGGGAAAACTTCTTAAAAAGCACCTTCAAGAGATTCTTACCTCATTGTAAAATATTTACTTTATATATCTTGCTGTGAAAACATCAAAGCCCTCATCAGTAGCATTTTTAACTAAAAAAAAAAAAAAAGCTTAAAATTGAGACATTTTAAGTCAACTACATTTGGTAGATGCAACCCATGATCAAGCTAAATGATTCTATGTACATCAATACTGCGAAAAAGGAGAGCAATTAGCAGTATTATACCATGCTTTGTAAGAGTTAATACTTTAAAAGCCAACTGATTTGATTTCTGTCTACTGTAGAAGCAATTATGAACAAAAAGAAAAATCTCCTTTGGTCATAGTCAGTAGACAACTGTTTAGGCAAGTGTAGCAATAGCAGGAAAACACATACCAGCCAACTGGCTATAATATATAAATACAGCTGAAGGTACAAATAAAATAGTCCTCTTATTTGCAATGCATGCCATGCACAGACAAAAAGTTAGAGAGAATTTTTTTTTTAGAATCTCAACATCCTAATGCTCACCATATTGGTGTACTTCAGGTAGCTTCACAAAAAAGACCATGAACACACACATGCCTGGAGGCATACATTAACGTCTATGTAGGAGCGATGTAGATTCCTGCAGACTAAGGTTTGGCACATAGATTATCATTTCACAACTCTTTAGGAAAACGAGATTCAAAAAGTGCTTTCATAATTTTAGAAGTGAATGGTTTAAAAAAAAAAATAAAATAAAATCATGCTCCTTACAGATTCATCTCTCTTGTACTCAGCAACTTCTAACTTGACAGCTTCAGTCTTATACGCAACCTTGCGGCACAGACAAGCTTTAAAGCATTCTGCAAATATTCTGGCTTGCACATGGAGACTAAAGCAAATTGGGTCTGTATCAGAGAAATTCAGAATCTTTGCTTGTTTCTAAGTAGCAAAGAACCTTAAGGTAAATATGGACTTAAGGATGTGATTGTCAGAATGAATAACACCTAGCAAAGGCTTGACTTCATCTTATCAAACACTACAGATACACAGACAAATCTTTCAAAGACTGTATGCTTCTGATTTAAAGACTACCATTCTGTAAGCAAGAAGTCTTCAAGTACACACAAAATTTAAAGTACATAAATGCAAAATATGGCTTTTTAACTTACTTCCTTAAGAGAATTTTCATTCTGACAAGTAAATTATATGGACAAGTGTGTACATGCCCTTAAGAGTATTTTCAGAAGAGTTAAGCCTTTAAAACTGATTAAAAAATCCAAACTGTAGACCCTCATATATGGTCAAAACACAGTAGTTACTTTCTCCAATTCCACAGGGCCATAAAAACAGATTTCTAAAAAGATTTTGATTTAATGTCCTAATTTTTAAAATTGTAATTCTGTTCTACAAACAATGATCCAGTTAAGAGTAAAAAAACTTCCATGCACTATAGGTCAATGCATTAATTACACTGTTTTATTTACACAATAATTTTTCAATGTTAGGTAACATGTTATATGGAAGTTACAATTTTTTTTTTTTTTATTTCTGTATCTTGGTAAACTAGAGCTGTTGCTGACTTTCTAAAAATATAATGATGTGTGCATTTACACACAACAAAACCACCAAGTTGTGCTAAGTATTCAAAGATCTTAATTCCCACATAGCACCACCACTCTGTTCTTATCAAATATGGTCAAAGATCTTTGTAAGATTTTTTTGCAAAATAATCCTCCTGAGTCAGCCCTTTCTATAGCCCTTTCTGCAGAAGTGAGAATCCCCTCAAAAGAACACTTTACAAGACTGAGGCTCAAATTCTTGTCTGTCATGGAACAAAATTAGATTGGAATCATGCTAGCATATCTAATTACATTTAATCCCATTGTTTAAAAAAATAATCTGTGGCTTGTGCACATATTTTGAAGACACGTATAAGATTTTCTGAACAAAATCAGAAGCTTAAAAGTTAAAGCATACTCCTCCAAGAGAAACGAGGAATCAACTGCTTGCATTCTCAACATATTAACATTTTAGTGCCTTTAGAACTGAAAATTTATTAAGAAATACACTGCAACTTGAGTAGTCAACACTCAAGTCTACTACAATTTTAAGAAGTGATTATTTTTAGCATAACCACACTAACAAGTTATTCTGTATATTTCAGTGAAGCAAAGCTTTAAAAAAATTTGTAGAGAAAGAGATAATTCCTTTTTTGTGTGTTTTAAGGGAGCAATAAATGCTCTCCATAAAGACTATTTACACAAATGCAAGAGCAAACTTTCTGAGATCAGGGTTTGGAGTTTTTATTATTTTTTCCAAAGATTCCACCACATGATAAAAAATTAAATGAATGTGTATTCCTGACCACATTGATAATGTCACAGCTAGAATCTCCTCAGCCAGTTTATGACAAGCAACTGCAACAGGTGTAAACATAAAACAGGTCCCTACATTGGGACAAAGCTTGGTTGCAGGTTGACTGTATGATACTAATATTGAAAGCAAGATTTAAAGTAAACTCATCTGGAATTCAGATCCAACTGAGGGAACAGTGAGAACGACACAGTGAAGGTACACTTGGGTGCAATTTCATGCTGGTGATTTTTTTTTTTCCTCTTTTTATGCTTAGAGCAGACTTTAAACCAGAAGTTGCATATCCAATGACACACACACACAATTCAAAACTTAAGTGACCATTAGCACATTTGTACACATACTTACACAAACTTAGTATTTACATATTCTAAACAAAATTCCATTTTAACAGTTGAAGTCTTTTAACACATGAAAGAAGATAAGCTACTACAAAGAATGCATAACAAGATCACAGATTTTCCACAAGCATATAAACACATGTTTTAAAGTGCTTTCTGGCTGCTTCAGATTAACCCCTTGCAGTATGAGCTTCTATGTAGTGCTGTTCCAGTCATTACAAAATTATTTAAATCATTCCCCTTCAGGTGCATTGAGAGTTCAAGAAAAATGACGACACCATTGATGCAAAAGTTTTAAGCTCTACCAAAATAAATGTATACATTACTTAAGTTCAGATGAAGTTGTCAAATACTTTGGTTTATCATAGCTTGGGATAAATATCTGATAGAACAGAAATTGCACCTCTCCACTCTAAGTTTTTCACTAAAAAAATACCCCAACATAAATTGACAGTATTCTTTGGTAAAAAACAGGACATTTGGCCAGTTTGTGTGTACATCTATTTATTAAAATAATCTAAAAGTGAACAAATGCCACTGCTGTACTGTCAATTTACAGGAATAATCATTCCTGACTCAGTGGGGAGTATCAAAACAGTAAGCTTAGCAGTTAGCTATATAACAAGCTGAAACACCTTCAGTGACCATTACAGGGGATCAATAATGTTTTAGAATACTTTTTGCTTAACATTTATCCTTTACATTACAAAAAACTTTAAAATGCTCTATGCCTGCAGACAAGTCCATTACTTTGAAGAGACTACAGAAACATTATTCAATGGTTTACACTGTTAGGTTTCTGAGAAGCATGTAACAAAAACCAGGAATATGGTGTGCTGACCAACCAATATTCAACTGCACAGTATTTGTGCATTACCTATACTAAGTACTAAGAAAAACCTACTAAAAATTCACTTAACTGCTACAAGTTACGTGAATCTATAAAAACAGAGCAGATATACAGGTATAACACTGAACATACTGTACTTTTATTAGCACAAAAAGCCAGAACAAGGCACAGCAAGCAGAAAAATACATCAATAGGAGGGTTAGTGTAGCATACAAGAATAACGTTTATTGTACTTGCAGCCAAAATGTTCCCTACCTCGCACAGGTCACTGCCATAGAGAAGTAAGTAATAACATACTGTAGCAGCTGGTAAAGAAACTAGGGAGCACTCATAATTGGTACAAAACATCAAACAGGGGTCAGGGCATTCCAACAAAATTTTAGTGCAAAAATGTCTAAGACAGAACTATTTTAAGTTCCATCTCCGATTAAATATGTAAAGAGAACTTAGAATCTTGTTTCCAAGTAATCTGTTGAAACTATAATCAGTGCATATTACTTTAAAACATTTTAAAAAGCACAAATGGAAAGATATTTACAAGTAAAGTGTAATAGTACCTTTGAAATCTGACATTTATTTCAGATATGTCAGATTTTGTATTCTGATTATAATAATTCAACCACTTGTAATTTTCTCCACAAAATTATCAGACGACTTTAAATAATTAAACATTTTTCCTTTTCACTATTACCTTCCATTGTAAGTTACGAGCAGTCAGGTCACCAAATTCTGTTTTAGAAAAAAAAAAACAAAACAAAACAACCCGCAACCTTTTGTTTCATGGCAATAATCTAATCCCGTGTCCTGCCACTGAATCAGTAATTCCCACTGGAAGGTATTGCTAACAATGCCACTTAAATCTCCAAGTGTTTAAAATAGAATTACAGTACTGAGCAGGCATATTCAAGTCTTAATGATTAGGAAACCTCATACACTGGGAAAAGCATGATTCATCTTTTAGCATCAAAATATCATTAACTCTTAATGGGCTGCTTCTAACAAACTGCTCTTCATTAAAAGACAATACTCTTATTCCCTAGTATTTGGAAACTTGTTTGTGAGCTAAATTAGTACTTTGAGTAGTGGAAAGTTTTCAAGAAGATAATTCTAAAAAAACACTTCAAATATTAGAAAAATTGCCCCTCTAATAAAGCCTTTCTTTAATAGCATTACATGAATGCCCCATGGAAAATGCCTCATAGTTTCTTCATCCAATTACTACAGCTATAAAAGGGAAACAAAATATTTAGAAATTAGCAAAAATATTTTCATTAGGCCTTAATGAAAAACGTGCAGAATTGTGTCTGCTTATTTTTTCCAAGAGGCATCACAACTTAGTTTGATTAACAGCAGGCAGCATCTGACAGGATACTAACACTCAGCTTAAATAGGGTATTGCAGAAAAGCTAGACGTTGTTGGTGCGCTCGCTGCAGTTAAAACTGTAACACACACACACACACAAAAAAAAAGCATATTCTAGAAGCTTATTCTGATTTCCATTTACTTTGTTTTTACAGGTTCCCGCTCCAGCCATCGCACCCTGACTTTTTGTTTATAGTGATACTCCTTTAGAAAGTCTTGCAACATTGAGGGTAGAGGAAGGTCATCAATTCCATCATACGTAGTGCACCTGCAGATTACTGCCCGGCAGATATACTGCAGACTAAAGGGGAAGGTCCTGTTCAGAGATACAGTAAGCAATGGTTCAAAGAACATGCAAGAGCTAGGGTCTTTGTAGTGTTCCAGAAGCCCTGTAACAGTGGAGGAGTGAAAGACACAGGGGTCATGGGCATCAAAACTGAAGTTGTGATTCCACTGCTCAATGCGTGCGTGTAGCGAGCGGTTATAGCGACGGAAGCTCACAGAGAAGAGGTAGTCCTCTTGCGCAGAATCCCTGAGCAAAAAAGTGCCTTCGGGTTTACCCTCCAGAAGTGCTTCTGCTTCGTAGCGGTCCATCACACCCCAGTAACATGGGTTACCTGTGATCTGAAGTAAGTCTGGCACAAGGCAATGGATGTAATCAATCTGAGTGTGCACTTTCCAAGCCCCCTGCCTGCTGATATGGCCGTGGCTCTCTCCAGACATCTGACGCTGCTTCTGCCTGCGTGACTGCAGACAAAGTGTTGTTGTGTCCTCTTCAGAGTCACAGTTTCCTGGAGGTGTTATGTTTTTGTCCCCAGTCAGCTCAGTCATACCAGGGGCTAACTTTGGTCCCAGTTTATACAATGGATTAACCTGTGCTGTAGCTTCAAAAGTATGTATTTGGGCATTGGGAGGGGGATCAACCCCTTCTTCAATACTAAGTCTACGTCGCTCTCTGAGCCTGTCTTCCTCGTCTTCCGTGGAAACCAAGGAAGGATCAAATGTGTCAAAAAAGGTTGAATGAGGACTCACGGGTGCTGTGTGTTGTTTAATCAGATGCCACTTCTGAGCCAGGTCTGAGCCTGCAGGAAAAGGGCATTTCTCAAGCATTAGTTCAGAGAGATGGATCTTTCTTTTGTTAGAAAACAGAGGTTTGGACTGTTTGCTGTAAGTTCTCATGGGAAAACACAGCCCAACAGTATCTTGTAGACGCTGTCGCAGGGAACGGCTGCCCACTGTCCTGCTCGATACTGCGTCCATATCATGGACAGAGCTCACCCCGTACCTTCTCTCCCTCCTCTGCAAACCACTTCGTGTTCTACCAAATCTTTTTTCAGTATCCAGGGAGCTCTGGGTTTTGGTTTTTTTTGCTTCTTCTTCCCACCCCAAGGAGCATGCCGAGAATAAGAGTCCCTTCGAGCAAGCCTGGCTCCCGTGGTGACACACGAGTCATTCTCTTTCTCGATGCTTATTTCAACAATCTGAGGAATTTCTGTGACACAGTTTTGGTTCCGCCTTGCCGAATTCTTTGAAGGACTTAAACCTAATTGCAAAGCAATGTTATCTCTCAAAGGGCTGCTGGGTTGTTGTTGAGCCAAATCAGTTATCTGGATAGCTTTCTCTTTAGCAGATGAACAACTATTGGAGTTCACAACCACATTTTCATTTTGGCTTCCACCTTCATGACTGAAGAGATTCTGGCACCTGTATTTGAAATTGTTCCACATCTTTCCCACTTTATCCATGGATTACGTTATCTAAATTCAAGATGAGAAGAAATATTAAAATAAAAATATAGTTTAAAAAAAAATAAGGATACATCTTCAGTTATCAATTAAGTTACAGGCACAAGACGACCATTAATTGAACACACTGCATCTGAAAAAGTGCCCTCGTGTTTGTATGATTATGTGGAAGTGACATGCATCACACCATTTTGATATTTAGAAAAAAATCACCATGAAGAAAATTTCTGAGAAATTACAAACATTTTATTTACAAGCAGGCCCTCCCAATTTTATGTAGGCACGTAGGCAGGATTACATAGTTGTACTTGACTGACAGGAAATATTCAGTCTAAAATTCTTCATTTTTGGAAGAATTTTTAAGTAACATGTAAGGTATGACTCCCTGATAAGCCTCCAATAAGCAGCAGTAAAACAAATCCTGAAAATGAGCTATTCAAGTCACTCCAAGCTATGAGAGCAGTTAGTGAAATCCACCAAGTGCACTGCAAATGTCCAGTTACACCATCTAAAAGTAAAAGCTCCAGGCACAGGCCAGATAAATTCCAAGCTATAACTGACAAGATTAAAAAAAAAAATAATTAGCATGAAAATAAAAATTTAGGGGAAAAAAAAAGCATTCAGTATTCTTAGATGAGGCAGTCACCAAAAGACAAGGGAAGGCAGTAAGGTATCAGCAGAATTTTAGAATTATAAAGTCTCTGATATATTAATAAAAGTCATACATATGAAACATCGGAAAAAAAAAAAAAAAACCAAACCAAAAAAACCAACCCAACTGTCTGGCTTTATTACTTAAGATATAAAAGAATGAAAGAGCCCAAGGAGCTTTTCTATCTTTAGTAAGAGCACTTAAAAAGAAAGCAGCTCCACAGCAGAAACACGATGACAGTGAATCATGAAGATACAGCAAAAAGATAAAAACATTAGAAACTGAGTTTGATAATTGGAACAAGACTGTCAAAAACACAGGACTGCCCTAGGACAGAGAGAAAGAGGCTAATTCTGTACTAAAAAAGTCAAGCAATGCCTAGTTAAATTAGATCTAATTAAAGTTCTGAGAAAAGTGCTAAACTTAAAGGACTAAAACATGTCATCTTATCTAATTTAACTCTTAATGGAATGTTCTTTGGAAACATCAGTCTGTAAGTCCCTTAAGATAACAGAAAAGCTGTAAGCACATGACCTTATAGCAAAATCCACTGGGACTGAGGAAGACTCAGAGGTATAGCTTACATGAGAATCATGAAAGGGTAATGAACATGAAACACCTGTTACAGGAACAGAAAACAAAAGGAGCAAAAGCTTTCTTCCCCACCCCCTCTTCAGATACTTCAGCAACCCCAGCAAGCTAGGTATCTACATCCAATTACATGAAATAAAACCTTAATAATTTAGTGTGGATGCAGGGAGGTTGGGGAGAAGCAGGGAAACTTGGCCTTAACAGTCTCTGGAGGTTACTGGTACAAGTTACCTAGAACACAGGCTAACAGTGCTAATGACAATCTGAACAGCGCCCAAGCAGTTATTGAGGAGGGAAACACTTGCAGAGAAATGTTATATGGAGAAGGTGCTATAGAGTCCTGTGCATACACAAAGTGAAGGTGTGTAAGCAAATGAGCAAGGAATGTCTTCTGGATTTAAAAAAGAAAAATAAAAAATGGCTAACTTCTCCCCCCCCCACCCC